GAGTGAGTGAGTGAGTGAGTGCGTAAGTTAATTATTAGCGTCACAATATACCAGCCGTGAAGATATAACAGAGAAAGAACAATCTACCCACCAACATTTGTCAGAGTGTAATTCAAGCAACTTTTAAAGTATGAATCAAACCCCGTTGTTTGGAACTTATGGTTGTCTCGAAATAAGAACTGTCTCTACGTGTGGTTGAGACAATATTTTGCTGTTGCATCCTACCTAGGATAACTCAAAGAATGTCCGCAGTCCCTTAAACTTCGACACAACAGTGTATGACATCATTGTGTTTACATTCCTGTAGTTATGCTTCCAAGACGCTTAACAGTGAAACCTCACTCCAGGTAAACATGGCGGAGACTCCCAAGGTCAACACCAGCTGACCATGTGCATGCAGTATTTTTGGGACGACTGCTATAGGACATGGACAATCGATGCGATGTCGTGTGAAGACCAAACAATCTACAAGCTGACCAAGCCTCCGACAGATAAGATTGTTTACTGTGTTGGTAAGTTTGCAATGTTATTGTACAGCCACAACCATAAACCAACAATATTATATTTTTGGTGAGTGTGCACGTGATGAACATGAAGTTGAAATATGACATTGTCGTTCATGAGAACACTAAAGGTACGTGGAAGCTATAATTCGGCGTTGTGTCGTCATCGCTCTGGAGTATGTTTCGCTCTGGTGTGGATAGTGCAGGATACGCTGATCTTTCGAAGAACACCTGATATCACGACTGTTTGATAGTGTTTTATAAACATATGATCCTAATGAAGTTGGAATCGTAAATTGACTTTGCTTTTAGAAATTAGATTTTCTGAGTATTCAAATATTTTGTCGAAATGAAACATCGATATTTTCAGTACATTACGTCAACCACTCTACATGAAAAGAATTGTTTGTTTTGTCATGGTCGCTTACTGTATATTACGTAAACGTAAACGATTACACCGAACTACGGTTATAACGAAATAAACTTAGTGGTGCCTTAAAGTTCGTTATAACCGTAGTTAATTGTATATACAATCATGTTATCATACGGTTAGAATTACTGTAGCTGACATTTGAATTGGATGGATGGATGTTTACCGATATACCGTTAATATACCGATAAACTCAACTAGGTTAATAAAACCCAGCAAAGTACTGCCAGATTATCATAATGACAATATGAAAGTGTATTTTATATAAAAACGTTTGTATATGGGTGTATAGGTGTGTGCACATTGATGTATGCAAGACTGAATGTGTTGTGTGTAGAACGTTCATGTTATAAATACTGCTTCCTCCAACACTATGTCTGCTTAGTGCTGCTCTATCTACAGCTGCTACTAACACTATTCCTAATGCATGTGCTGCTGCTGTTTCTTGCTGCTACCTCTTTTGCAACAAGTACTCTACGTAATTGTAATAATACTTTTAGGTATTTCCTCTTTGCAAATGACTGCGCATTCACTTATTGATTTTTAAGCTGAACTCGTAGTTCCATTATCTGTATTACTCTTGTAAGGTTTTAATGTTAAGTACGTTGTTAGAAGAATACCGGCAAAGTTAACACTATTTGTCAAGGTACATCTTCATAACATTTCTCATCAAACTTCATCATTTGATTGTAAATGAAATATTAATATACTCAAAGAACTTAGTTAAGCACCCACTGACATATCTAACGATTGAATGAGCCCCGATGGTAACCCTTTGGAGCATATCTGGGACATGGTTGTCGTCGTGTGCAACAAAGGTCCTCCTGTACAGAACCTGTCCTAATTGGAAGCTGCCTTTCAAGAGGAACGGCGTTGATTGCCCCTTCAGAGGATCAGGAGGCTGACAGGGGGTATGAGGAGGTGAGTGCTGGCTGTCACACGGTCACATGAAGGTTACACTCGGTATGGACCTTAAATTGTGTAAGACACGCAAAATGACATTTTGAAAGTTCACATTCACCAATAAATTCAACATTAAACATCCCAGGGTCATACTTGTACAGACAGTTCTGCATGAAAATCAGTGTTTTTAAATGAACAATTATCATCTTAAATCAACACGGATTCCAATCATTTTGTCAAAGGATCATATGGGTCACCATGAGAAGTTTCATGTACGTGTTGAAAACGTATCATTGCAAAAAAACATGGGGTGCTTAATTAAGTTCTTTGTGTATATCAAATGAATAATTATTTCAAGCAAGCTCCTTACTTCATGTGTATCATTCACTTGTAAAAAGCGGAATCTCTGATATTCAACACAATAGTCTCAATTCAAAGTGAACAACTGGATTTTCTTAATCATCGATCACTTGATTGTCTGGTTGGTTTACAAGCCGTCCTCGTTTGTCAGGAGTATGTTCGGAGTCGGTCTGTGAATACTTACTTTATAAGCAAATGTGTATATTTTTCGAAAAACAACACGTCTTTTCTGAGGTTTTATATATACGTTGCTTACATCCATTCAGCTACGTGTTTTCTGCATTCACGAGCATGTTAAGCATAGCACACTGAAAGGACACCATCGTTCCGTAACGTACAAGTCAGGGTTCAAATGTATACTCAGTAACAGTCTTCCACTACCTTGAATTAAATCTGTTGGTGGTCACGACATATATATCCCCTGCGTCCTGTTTGTGATACCTGTGATTTCTAAAGAGGTAGCTGGGTGGTTTTCAATATAGACAGACATGTAATGAATCATGCACATAGAATAACAGAGTAGAAACAACACATGCTGTGAAGGTAACCCTTGCCATAGGAGTCCGGAAGGTCGTGCCGGAATACGGAATAGACAGGTGCCGGATTAGACAATGTTGTAATGATCATAATAGCATTGTAAACTAGCGGGACCAAAAGTTTATGCCGGTTGTGACTGTATGCCGGATTAGACAGGGGCCGGTGTTGGCAGGTTTCACTGTATATGTCTAACCTGCATATATCCCACCTCCTCGTCCATATCAGCCACGTGAACAGAGTAAATGTATTAGACATGCTTTTACCTGTAACATGAACTCCCATGTCGTGTACCAGATAATGGCGTTGTCATGTTACGTCGGACCTTTGAATCTGTACGCATGGATCATCGGTTATGCAGGTCTATAACTATGCCTTTTTCTCATGTAACAATTTTATACAGATTCAAGCTCATATCTGTCATGCAATTGCTGTTCAGTACTGTTTATGTTTTTCCTACAATGACATAAGATACTGACTGGCTCTTTGTGAACGTTGCTCTCAACCCAACAGGGAAGCTGGCTGCTTGACCCGTAAACATTGTTGGACGGGTAATCAATACCTACCCTTTCGTGCAGACTGCAATTGTGCTGTTACCAATGTTCCACACGGGTGGGCACCACACAACAGTCAACGTGGATTCGCCACGATAACATGGCACGACAGGAACGACTGATCTGTTTGCTACCTGAGTCAGTAGTTACAATGGACAATATCTTCCCATCAACTATGACAGTGAGAATATTGTGTATCAGCGTTCTGTTCCTTGTTGTAGGTAAGTAGTGTCACGCCATGTATTCGCTAGTCATTTCGGGATGAAAATAGCAAAACAATTTAAAATACATGCGTTTTAATAAGAATACATTCCGTTAATCAACATAAAAGACAAAGAGGTTATTTGTATCAATCAAGGACACGGTGTACGCCTTTACGAAGACAACAGTGCCCAGATTAACAATCATACGTCACAGGACACTCACTCCTAATCATAGGCGGATCCAGAAGGGGGGTGCAGGGTGCGCGCACCCCTTTGTTCTGAACTTTTATTAAATGACCATTGATATTCGGGTGAAAATGAAATGTGCACCCTCCCTTTTCTCAATAGTATGCACCCCCCTTTCTAAAAATGTTGTATCCGCCCCTGCTAATTATCCCGAAACGGTTGACAGAACCAACGATGGAACTGATATTGCTAATCTCATTCGTTCTTTTACGACCGCCTCCATGGTGTAGTGGTTAGAGCGTCCGTCCGGAGAACGGAAGGTCGCGGGTTCGATCCCCGACCGCGTCATACCAAAAGACGTTAAAATATGGTACTTGTTGGTCCCTGCCTGGCGCTCGGCATTAATGGGTACAACAAGGACTGGTCGGCTCGGAGTTAGTAAAATGTGTCTGAGTGGGGTATTCATGCTTCACTGCGGCATGGTATCTCAGTGGGCTAGCACTATAAAACCAGCTTAAGTCTGGGCTAGTACAAGAAGCCGCACATACACATACACACGCATGCACCTCGTCATATGAGCGAAATATAATTCAGCACGACGTTAAACCCAATTTCACCTCACCTCACCTCACCTCACCTCACTGTTCTTTTACACAATGTACATAAAGACAATGGCGTCTATTTTAAAACTTCAGCGACTTCCTGTGAATGAGACTTAAATTTGCAAAATGATTATAACTGGATTTCACTGATGTCTTCAATGAACATAGAATGCCCAGTACGCCAGCCGTTGGTTCAGTGCCCTGTTTACAGCTTCCGACCCCTGCGTGGACCACAAGTACATCTACGACAACGGGGGACGCAGCCCTAAATGTCCCTACCAGCCGGAGGAGTGTGACCGCTACATCACGGAGAACTGGTACCAGGTGGTCAACTACCATGGGGCTCTGGAGATGCCGACATCCCACGTGGACATCAACAGCTGCGGCCAGAACATACTTTGACAATTTTACTTCAGACTATATTCATTTTTGTCAACAGAACCATAAGTATATATATATATATATGGGGATCAAATATGTGGGATCAAATTTGGTTTAAATATCTAAGCTTATTGTAATCATGGATCCTAGGTTTCAGTATGTCACTGCATCTTGTGGATCCCATACCTGCTATTGACAGGTGTTGTGTACTTGTCAGTGACGTTTTCCATGATTTGCAAAATGGTTGATTGGTGCCAGGAAAACCATTTTTATGGTTACTCATGTATCAAGTACATAAGGTTAGATTAAAGTGACTGTTTGCCTAAAGAGGGGTTATCATAATATTATCTATCCAGTTTTAAATGGATGCAATTCAAATCATAAATCTACGTTTAAGTAAACTTGTGAATTCTTGTGATCCTTAGCAAGGTGTGAGTAGTTATATAATCCCTCAGAATATCAAATGGTTTGTCCCTAAGGCAGAACACTTGTATATATAATGTTTTCAGGTAGGACAAGTGAAACACATTTAGAAATAAGAAGATGTGACATTTGTAGTTTACATTTATTCATTTAACAATTTATACTCATTGATTTGATTCACTCAGGAACCCTTCCCTCTGTCTCAGACGACATCGTGGACATGACTGTTTGTGTCAGTTTCTACGACGAACCCTGCGAAAAGCAAGTTACAATCCAGGTGAAAAAATGTGGTGATTTCTATGTTTACTGCCTTATGAAGATGGGCGGCTGTCCTGAGAGATGCTCCAACAAAATGCTTACAAGTACCTAAAACAGTGGAAAGATTTTTTTATAAGTGACTCCATGACCGCAAGAAAAATATTGTCCATTACGTAAACCTTAAGGGTGTGTTTGCAGTGAAAATGACTCCACCCCTCTTGCCCCGTCCCCCTAGCCCCTACTAATTAGTACCTGTAGCCCCACACCTGGCTGTTCTGTTAGCTGTACTCACTCCCCTGTAACTGGATTAACTGCTACTATTAATTAACTCGTTAGATCAGGTGTTGGTTGCTAGTAGGTGACTAAGGGTACTTGGTATAGATAATAGAGAATCACGGCTCAGTGATCATTATTGATCAGTAGATGATCACTGTTGCTAACAATTGACAAAACAAATATGAAGATTCTATATTTGTTTACATTCACAAATATATTCATTCCGGTCTTGACACATTGTCTGAATGCAGAGTAAGATCAGTTGTTTTTACGCACCATACATATACTCTCCCAAAAGAAACGCATCATGAAAATAGCAACTTCATGTAGCAATGAATAAAAACGTGATTCAGTTTACAAAAGGTTTTGCTCTGTTTATGAGTCCTATGGTGTTTATGTTTTGAAACATCACAACAAAACGCACCATCCGTAAAATACCCGTATTTAACAGCATGATTTTCAATTTCGGCGTGTAGTGTCACAGAATACACAATTCACATGCAATGCAAGCGAAAGTTGGGGATCAGATAGTCTCAATGATGGGTATAAAAGGTTGATCGCTGTCTGTCGATTATTCACTGTATTTGGAATATTGTTGACGAACGCAAAATGCCACGTCTAAGTGAAGCCAACCGTCATATCGCCATTGGTTTGCTTGAAGCTGGCCAGTCTCAACGTGCAGTTGCCCGACGCATGAATGTTCACCAAAGCACCATTTCACGGCTCTGGGAGAGATATCGCCGGCAGAATGCGGTAGCAGATGCCCCTCGTAGTGGGCGACCTCGAGCGACCACTGCGGCGCAGGATCGCTACATCCGGGTACATCACCTGCGTCATCGAACAGCTACGGCGACCAGTACCGCTCGACAAATACCCGGATTGAGGAGGCTTTCTGCACAGACCGTCAGGAACAGGTTGAGAGAGGCTGGTTTACGTGCCAGAAGACCTTATTTTGGCCCTGTGCTTCGACAACAACATCGTCGACATCGAGTTCAATGGTGCACCAACGTTCAGGCCTGGAACCTACCGAATTGGCGTAGAATCTGGTTCAGTGATGAATCACGATTTCTATTGGAACGACGCGATGGAAGAATGCGGATGTACAGACGTCGACGTGAACGTTTCGCCGACGCTTGCGTTCCCCAGGTGGACAGATTCGGCCGGGGCGGTGTTATGATGTGGGGAGCGATCACCTGCCGTAGGAGAAGTTATCTGGTGATGATCCAGGGCAACCTGACAGCTCAACGGTACTGTGACGAAATCCTACGCCCACACCTCCTTCCAATCATTGATCGCCGGAGGGAGTTGTTTCAACAGGACAATGCCAGGCCCCACACAACAGGTCACACTAGAGACTTCCTCCAGAACCACAACATCAATGTGCTCCCCTGGCCCTCAAGATCACCGGACTTAAACCCGAACATCTGTGGGATGCCCTGGACAGACGGGTGCGACGCCATAACCCTCAGCCCCAGACACTTCAGCAACTCGCACAGGCACTACAGGCAGAGTGGGCTGCGATTGGGCAACACGAGATTCTGAGACTTATTCGTTCGATGCCGAGGCGATGCCGTGCAGTTCTGGATGCCCACGGTGGTCACACGAGGTATTGACTTCAGCGCCACCACACGTCTCCATGTGACACTCAAACTGACTGAGTTGGTGCCAAAGACGGATAAGTCTGCATTCCCAGGGTGCAATTTAGCTATATTTCATTGACTCATAAAGCCTACAAGATGTTTCAAAATAAACATAAAAATACAGATGAAATTCCTATATGCGTTTCTTTTTGGGGAGAGTATATTATCCATCATATGTCCAATGGCACACAGGTATGAGTCAAGATTTCTTTATACAGCAGATGAAGGAATAATTAGGAAATTCACCGTATAGTCTCCATATCTAAAATCACTTTGCAAGTTATGTTGTCAAAGACGTGCAGAAAGGTTCAGTTTTTTACTATTTCTATTTCCTCTGGGGAAAGTCAGAACAAACAGAAACAATTCAAACAACCTGTCGGTGAATGTCTCAAATCGTCCCAAGGAACAATATGAGCATACTTTAAGATGAATAGCCAACTGTTCCCTTATCATAAATATTATATACCTTTAATAGGTATTATGTTTTGAAAAAAATGGAATGTTAATATCCTTTTAATGACAGTTTAAGAATACTCGATGCACCAAAGGAGATGGAACTGCTGCGTGGAGCGACCTATTTATGAGATAATGGTAAATGATTCCAGACATATTCAGCTACATAAGCACTCATATATCATGTTATACCTAAACATTTTGCAAACTGATGGTTGAGCATGATGGTAATAGTCCATCTGTGTCGATAGTTCCTGTTTAATAGTTATTAGTCATACTTCCATAATGATCAGATTCGATCATAGAATTTAAATCATTCATTCAAATCACTATACATCAACATGCAGCTCTGGTTTTCAAGACACAGGGAAGCAGGTCTGGATGTTTTAAAAATATCAAAACTAAATCAATGTATAGAATAATATCAATCCAATGTTCACAAAATTCAATTTTTATTCTGTATTTAATGTAGAATAATTTTTACAATTACATTATTTTGATACAATACGGTGTTTTCTTTTGGTCTAGGTTCGACCCGTCTGCGAGTAGAAGTTAAACAGTCACCTGAAAAAGGAGCCTGTCCTTATAAGGAGTCTGGAATATAATCTGGCCTACATGTGGTCGGTTGTTCGTTCATTACACATGTCAATAATACATGTATGTTGAAGAGAAATGTATTTGCATATATTTGCATATATCCATATATTTCAACGTACTGAATGTCCATATTCTACTCATGTTATCGATCAGTGTAATATTGTAATAAATACATTCAAATAGCACCTGAAGTACATCTTTCTTGAGCTGGAAAAGTTTAATTCAGATTACTTGCTGATGTCACTGGTCATGATTAGTTTGAAAATGCGAGGCTTAGATTTTATTTGTACCTTGCTCAATGATTTTCTACTCAGTATACACTGCATAAATATGGGGTAGGTTTTCCCAGAAACTGCGGAAGTGATATGAAAGTTTGCATTCTTGTCTAAAAGATGCTGCGAAGAGAGCGAATGGTGGGGGTAGCCTAGTGGTTAAATTGTTGGCTCGTCACGCCGAAGACCCGGGATCGATTCCCCAGGTGGGTACAATTTGTGAGGCCCATTCCTGCTGTTCCCCGCGTGATATTGCTGTAATATTGCTAAAAGCGGCGTTAAGCCATACTCACGCTCTGTAAAGACTGAGTCCGAAATTTGGTACCGTACGACTGGTTTTACACGGTTACGGCCCTTCATCCATATTATGTTAGGGCGTCAGCAATGGGGCCAAGGTTCCCCAGAAACTACTGTAGTAACTGAAACTTTGCAGTCGTATCTGTTGGGAGTGAGTAAGTGAGTTGAGTTTTACGACGCACTCAGCAATATTCCAGCTATATGGTGGCGGTCTCTAAATAATCGAGTCTGGACCAGACAATCCAGTGAACAACATCATGAGCATCGATCTGCGCAATTGGGAACCGATGACATGTGTCAACCAGGTCAGCGAGCCTGACCACCCGATCCCGTTAGTTGCCTCTTACGACAAGCATGGGTTACTGAAGGCCAATATTCTAACCCGGATCTTCACGGGTATGTGTTGGGATATCGCTTGAACAGTAGACAGGGCTGTATTTCATATTCATAATTGTATCTGTGAGAAACTTGATTCCGCCAGAGAAGGAACCTTTTAATTAATTTCACTTTCAATGTATTTTTTCTGTTGCCGCAAATCAGACCTTGTGTCTAACTCTTCTTTTGGCTTTAAAGCACTCTATACACTTTTGTACAAAAAACATTGAGGCGAACATATTTGAAACACGTACATTTTCACCAAGTTGTACACTCTTCAAAAAAAGACACGTATATGTGGATTTGAGAATATTAGACTCATGTAGCTGCGGCAAGAAAACACACAGATATACTATTTCTGTCCCAAACGTCGTCTTTGTGTGATTGTAAACAGCTTCAGCGCCATTTTAACTGTTTCCCTTATTTTAGAAACGTTTGAAGAAACATTTGCCTGAAGGTCACCAAGAAAACATGCAAAGCAAAATACACGTGCAAGTAAGCGGAAAAGCGTGCGGTATCGGTCACAATAAAAGGCAAACGTTGTTTTTAATTCTGTCATTCGTTTTTTCCATGGAAAAGCCGAAATCATCCTGCCACGACTGACTGCCACCAATCGAAAAATCGCCATAGGCCGCCTTGAAGCTGGGGAGTCGGAGTCTGCAGTTGCCCGACATTTCACAAGAGCACCATATCTTCCATTCGGGATCGTCTCCTGCAGACCAGTTCGGCCCAAGATCGCCCGAGAAGCGGCCGCCCAAGAGTTAACCCACCCATGCCCAGTACCGCTATATCCGAGTTTCTCACTTGTGTCATCGTCTTGCCACAGCCATGGAGACTGCACAACACATCCCTGGTTTGAGAAGAATTTCCGACCAGTCTGTCAGGAATCGATTAAGTGAAGTATGGCTTCGACGAAGAAGGCCAGTTGTCGCCCCTGTGTTGAGAGACTTCCATCAGCGCAATCGTTTGCGGTGGATTCGTTGAGTCCGGGTGCGGTGGGGTAGCCTAGTGGTTAAAGCGTTCGCTCGTCACGCCGAAAATCCGGGGGTTCGAATCCCCACATGGGTACAATGTGTTAAGCCCATTTACCGGTGTCCCCCGCCGTGATGTTGCTGGAATATTGCTAAAAGCGGCATAAAACCAAACTCAGTCAGTCAGTCAGTCGTTGAGTCCGAAACTGGAACCTTAGAAACTGGAGGCGAGTCACTTTCATTGATAAATCACGATTTCTTCCTCACCGGCGAGATGGAGGACAGCATGTTTACCGTCGGAGAAATGAACGTTTTGCCCTGATTTCATCTGACAGGTCGACAGATTCGATGGAGACAGTGCCATGGTGTGGGGTGAGATATCCAGCACACAAAGAACAGATTTAGTGGTGGTTCAGGGGAATGTGACATCAAATCGGTACATCAACAAAGTCCTTGCACGTCACATGCTGCCGATTATAGACCGACAGAGCGAGTTGTTCCAGCATGACAAAGCTATTCAACATACAGCACCCATTACGGTCCGATGCCTTGTCAATTCTAACGTCAATGTCTTGCCATCACCAAATCTAAACTCAATAGAACACCTGTGGGATGAAGTCGATCGACGTATACGTCAACGTCAAAACACGCCTCAGACACTTCCACAACTGGCCATCGCATTACAGGAAGAGTGGGTAAGAATTCCGTAAGAGCGACTTCGTCGACTTATCCAGCCTGAGCCGAGACGGTGCCGAGCAGTAGTTCCTGCCAGTGGTGGCCATACAAAGTACTGACTTTGGCGCTATCTTGTGGACTCAGGCAGGGGCGGATACGGCTTATTGAGAAAGAGAGGGTGCACACTCTTGAGAAAGGTGTGTGTGTGTGTGTGTGTGTGTGTGTGCGTGCGTGCGTGCGTGCGTGCGTGCGTGCGTGCGCGCGCCTTATTCAATGAATCTTCTGGACAAGAGGGACCCCCTCTGGACCCGCCTATGGACTCAAGTAAACAGAAACACAACAATAAAGGCTGCTGTTGGCGAACTCTTTGTCTATAGACGTATGAATTTTCACCTTTTTCACCACTGAACTTACATGAAATAATTGCTCTTCAACTATCGCAATAAATTCTTCTAAAAAATGGCTTATGCGTTTCTTTTCTGTGAAGAGTGTAGTTTCACATATTTGTATGTAGTCTTTGAACTGAATTTGAAGTGATACACATATAAGTCAAAGGTTTATGTATGTCAACGTCTTTGTTTGAGGAACATGACGTTTCGGAGAATCGTATTTCTGAAAATAAAGACGTTGACGTTGACATCAATAAATTCTTGCCTTCACATACGTGTAGATCACCCAGGTGTTGATTCACATATTTATCAGTTAGCCATTATGTAAACCATCCCCCAAGGTTACATATTGTCACAGCGTCACAACCTTATTGGTTTTCATACTCGCGTTCCTGTTGCAGCATTCAATATACAATTGTGCTCTCATGTTGCTCCTAAACTGTTTGGGGGCATTGTCGTGACATCCATTATCTTCAGGAATATATATTTATAACCCATGTATGATTCGGACTAGATCATGAACACGTATTTATGAATAGCTGTCAAACAGTAATGATACAAGAACATGTGAGCCTATATTGTGGGGGCGTGGTGGGACAACTGGGCGAACTGGCTATAGCGCCAGGCTAGTGATCAAGCGAGCTTGAGGTGCCGGGATCGAGCCCACCTGTGACCGGGTAGCTTGGAGTCAACTTTGTGTGCAGACTCTTTCAGTGTTGTCACAACCCCTAGTGTACAGTACTCAACCCTGTGCACTTAAAAGAACCCACGAATCCGTTGGTATATGACCAGGTGGTGGCCACATGAATACGTGTAAACACCTACTTGCGGGTACAGCAACGTGCAGTAAACTTGGACAAAGTACTGTGACTATGTGTCCCAGTCCACCCAGCTGCCAATGGGTACCTCGTAAGGATGGGAACGCCACACTAACTCGGTGCGCCTAGTGGCTGCAAGAGTTTTATGACCCCCAGGGAGTTGAGATTGATAATACGACGTGCCATTGAGATTGACATCCAGTGATCGAGGGAAAAAACAAAGCGCCTTTGAGCAGCTGAGATGTGTATGAATGTAGACAGTTGCTTGTCTGTTAAGAGTCAGGAAACAGTTACTAAGTTACTAAACACGATCCTTGAACATTCAGGATAGAATTGATCTTCTGTACGTCCTGTCATGAGAGGCGATGAAAGGGACAGGGTGGTCCGACTCACTGCCGTGGTCTCTGCATGTCACCGTATCCCAACTGCGTAGAGCGTGATGATGTCATCCACGAGCAAAACAACATGAACATGACGCCTTGGTTCCACTGACACACTGTCTCCAGGGGAAAACTCAATTGTTGAAGAAATAAAATTAAGTAATGGCATCTCTGTTCAAAACAATTTATTAGGCGATGTGAAAAGGGTACCAAAATTGTATACAGGTTTACTTGAATCTGTTCTGGCTGCACAATCACAATCGAACTAAACGTTCACGTTGTCCTCCAAAGAAGAGATGCTGGCTTTCAAATACAAAATTACACGATATGTACATATATCAGGTATAGGCGGACAAAAAGAACATGTGTTTGTTCAACAGGAGTGATGTAAGGTTATGATTTAAAATATACACAAAACAAATGGCACTTTTGGAATATGCAAACGTGGCCTGTAAACACAAATGATGAGACAATGATTTTTTTTATCCATTTAAAACGCACCGGTGAGAGAAAAGCGTTATGTCCCAACAATCTTATGACTTCTACTTGTTCAAGTTTCAGTATGTACCTTTTCTGAAGAATATAATGTCTTGCGCGCAGTGAAATTAGTTTGGTTGCTGTTGAATGAAGTATACAATGATATATACCCTTGAGGGTGTGTGTTCCAATCTGACGGATTCGTACGTAAATACTATACCAGCTCAAATCTTCCCATGCCGTATATTGGCTCGAAAAACATATTTATTTACAGGAAAGCAACGGAGATGTTGTAGTTATTTAGCGACCAGGAAGAAAAACGATTCGACATACTTTTAAAGTAAAAGACAATGTTCGACTCTTGTTTAAATTAACTGTTATTCAAATCCGATTACGCATCCAAAATCCTTATCCTCATTGCAACCCTACTTTTTGCCACATGTCAGATTTTCCACCGACCCGGGTCTGTA